TCTAAACTGAGACACGAGGAAGACTGATTGATTTTACACTTTGATTAGGTTCTGATATTGAGGTTCAAAATTGCAACTTGACGCAATAATGTAGAATTTTATATTGGCTTTTTTTCTTCTTTTTTTTTTTACAAAAGCTTTAAACATGACATTTATGGAAGCTTGTTTCCACAAGGGAATGAAAATTGTAAAAAAGTAATTGCAATTGCGAGTTTATATCTGGCAATTCACACTTTATAACTCACAGAGCCGCAACTGAGAAATAAAGTCGCAATTGACATTTTTCTCACAATTGCGTTTACTGTGTATCTCGTAATTCTGGCATTTTTTCGCATAAATTGCGAGTTTACTGTATATCTCGCAATTCTTTTTTCTCGCAAGTATGACTATACATTTCGCAATTCTAACATTTGTTCTCACAATTGTGAGTTTATATCTCGCAATTGACATTTTTCACACAATTGCGAGTTTACTGTATATATCGCAATTCTTTTTTTGCAATTATGATTGTATATTTTGCGATTCTGACATTTTGTCTCACAATTGTGAGTTTATATCTTGCAATTGACATTTTTTCACAATTGAGTTTACTGTATATCTCGAAATTCTGAATTTTTTTTCTAAAAATTGCTAGTTTACTGTATATCTCGCGATTCTTTTTTTCACAATTACGACTAACTTGCATTTCTGACATTATTTCTCACAATTGCAAGTTTACTGTATATCTCGTTATTCTGACTTTTTCTTCTCGCAATTGCGAGTTTATATCGCAATTGACATTTTATTCAAAATTGCTAGTTTACTGTATATCTCGCGATTCTTTTTTTCACAATTACGACTAACTTGCATTTCTGACATTATTTCTCACAATTGCAAGTTTACTGTATATCTCGTTATTCTGACTTTTTCTTCTCGCAATTGCGAGTTTATATCGCAATTGACATTTTATTCAAAATTGCGAGTTTATTGTATATCTCGTAATTCTGACATTTTTTTCATAATTGTGAGTTTATTTCTCACAATTCTGACTTTTTTTACTTGCATTTGCGAGTTTATACTGTATGTCACAAATCAGACTTTTTTCTCATAATTAAGATAATACGATATAAACTCGCAATTCGGACTTTTTTTCCTCGTGATTTTGAGTTTATATCCCGCAAATCTTTTTTTCTCAGAAATGTTAGACAAACTCCCAGTTGCAAATTGCGAGTCCAAATTGTGAAATGTAAACTCGTCTGTAAATGTAAATGTAAATTCTGAGATAAAAAGTCGTAATTACCTTTTTTTCATTCTGTGGCAGAGACCGAAAAGTTTCATAATGTTAATTTGTCAGTTTTAGGTCTTTCATTTGCAACATACATTGTGACTTGCATTATAAAATGTGAAATGTATTCTTTTTTTAATAAATAACCATCTTTTGATTTGCATCCAACAAGTTGCACTGTAAATAAAAAGAGAAAATAAATCAAATTTAATTTATATACACTGGATTGTCAAAAAAAGACATTGCCGTGTGGTTATTTTAAATATAAATCATTATGATGTTGTATTTCCAGTGTTGTGAAATATACTGTTCTTCTGATATTAAATTGGTCACGCTGCACACCTTTACCCAGCACCGATTAATCTCATGTTAGAGGACAGTAAGGTGAACGCAGCCAAAAGACTGCATCTGTGCCATAAAACCCTTTTGCGTTCATTTTTCAGACAGACACCTGACGCTCCGTATAGAACCACTGATCAATATTTAATCTGGAGAAATAAATTGCGCCTGTTTGTCTTTCATCTTACGAGGGAAATGTATGTATTGTGACAACAGCAGCGACGCGTTAATCAAATAATGGAATAGTGATTTTTTTGGAGGGGACCTCGTCGCTATATTAACCGTAACCCCACGCTGTTGACATGATGCATCTCGCAGCCCATGTCTTGTTACTTCAGCGTGGATCATCTCAGCCTCATTGGATATCTAAGAAAAGATTTAGATCCCATGTTGTGCATAATATGCTGTAACATGCACGGATATCACACGCTTGTACTTTTGACCTTCCCAGCGCTGACAGTGAGGAACTATTTTTTTTCTCCATTTATTCTCAGGCCCCTTGTCTTCGCAATTACCGCGTTCCAATCTCTCCTCGTCCCCACAGTCGCCCACAATACCCAGTAGGATCACCGGTCTATCTTGTGGTGGAGCAATTACCGTCTCTATCTCCCTGAAACAAAAAACTTTTAGACAAGAATATTAGGAAATGTCAAATTCAGGTTAGATTTCCCTTTTCTCCAAAGGCGACGTGGTTTCCTCACTGGAAGCGTGGCTGTGGCCGTACTACATAATGCATGAAGCTCACTGGCCACCCCTGCGAAACATGGTTAACTCACATGCTTTACATGCAGACAGAACTAGTGTATAGCTCTAAATATGACTTTGAAAAAGTTTCAATATAAAACTTGAACGCATCAGAGCCTAGTGGTTAGCTGAAGCCATTGTGCTCATGCAGGTGATGCACGTTCGAATGTGGCAAGTAAAAAAAAAAAAAAAAAATGATTTGCACTAAACAAAATACTTAAAATGTGTGATAAGTACAGTATATAATGTAATAAATATAATATATCTGTAAAGTTAATTCCTTCTTCTTGAGCTGTCATATTAAAAAGCAATAAGTCTCCAATATATAATAAATAGATATAATATAAATATAAAGATTATGTTATAATTATAATTCAATATTAAAAATAATAATGATAATAACTATCAAATAATAATAATAAACATTTGAATACTTGAATACAATTAATTAATTGGATAACTGGATGAATTAGAAAAGTTTATTTAACTGGAAAATACTCCATATCATTGTTTTAATTTAATTTGCAAATATGTGAGTAATTTTATAATATATAACTGAAATCAAATAAATAATTGTTTATTAAACTGTCATACATGTTAAAAATTGTATCTAAAAAGTATGTTGTTAATTGTTATTATTCTATAATAATGAGTTATTATTGTAGGATTTTATAATCGTTTCTGTCACGGCATGGTTGCAGAGGGGATGAAAAAAGGCAGGATCTAATCGCAGCAGTTTTCTTTATTAAACACTAACTCAAAATATCAAACACACACTTCAGAATCTTCACACGAAGCAAACGGTACAACCATGTTACTGCGACGAGATCGGAACAACGGAGAAACAGAAAACAACCTCTATTGTACTGTACGAACGTTAACAAAGGGAGGAAACGAGAAACAGGTGGATCAAGTTAATCAAACAATGAATAACCATGGTAACTAATGTAAATGAAGGAAACAAAGGCAAAAACATCATACAATGAAAAAGGGGCCGTTTAGAAAACTTTTTATGTGTTTTGGCCGTTGGCCGACAACGGCGTTTCATGAAAACGGGTGCAAGTTTTTGAAAATGATACCGTTAACAGATCTAGGTGTAAACTACAAAAACATGAATGTGTGAAAACAATGATGTAATGTGCATGCGAATTACGTGTTTGGTCTATAGGCGTGAAGTTTCTTTACAAAGTGAAATCGCCACCTACTGGCCGGGTAGCCTCTCGCTGCATCCTGCGGTGGACATCCAACCCAACCACATCCAAGTGTGACGTCAGAAGCCACCACGCCCATGCCCAAATTGGACGCATTCTCATTAACATTTAAAAACAGGAAGAAGCATCGAGAAGAGAAGACTAGAAGACGAAGGTAACTGCGAAACAAAATGCACAAAACACACTTGCGGCTTTAGTATTTTAGTAAACACTGTTCAACATAATACGGATGAGTTGTATGAGAATGAGATGTTACCTGTTGAAAGCAGCTCTTATCACTTTAATAATAGTTTGTAATGAGGTCAGTGCGGTGCGTCTAATCACTTGACTAGCATTGTCAAAACATCGATGTAATTCGAATCAATAAGGTTTGATGATCGTTGTTTTAGAGCTATGAATTATCTTCAACTTACATATTTGGTCATTTAACTCCCCTGTAATGTCTCAACTGAGTTGTGTGTTACATTTGGCTGAGTGAATTTCGTATCAGTAACTACGTTAGATTCTCAACTGAGAATTTTGTTTTGTATACTATTACTATTATACTATACCAACTAACTGCATTATTATATCACCAATGTCATGTTGTTATTTGGATTAAGGGTAAATATGAAAAATATATTATTTCAGTGCTTATGTGTGACGTTACATCCTGTAAATCTTATTCTGCTTGTAAAGAATATGAGATTTGATTGTCACTCTGTCAGTTGTAAATACTCCATATTGAAAAAGTTTGAAGTTGTTCTGTCATTGCTTATATGCAAAGAAGTTATACATGTTTAGATAATGTAATGTGATGATAAACTGTTGTAATATGAATAAGTTTTATTATTGATTCATAGTAAATACAGTGACAGCAAGCCAGCCATCACATCAGCAGACTTTCCTAACTATATTATACTTCTTTTCAGGAGTACTACAATTTTGAAAGCAAGTGATTGTTTGCCATGTCGGTAAGTAAAAATAAACTTTGGTTTGTATCCTAATCAAGTTAGCGTACTGTTAACTGTCGGGCCAAAGGTTTGTCTGAATTGGAATTAACAACTTAACGATAGCTAGGTTAAAACGTTTTGGTCTGATCACTTATCACTTACAACCCTAACTTATCACTTCAAAGTAACTTGGTTGAGCAACCGAATCATTTCACTACATCTTACTTGATAACTCTGTGTATGTGCCAAATTATCTATCTATTCTAGATTAATGGAAAGATCACATAATTATTGTCATTGTCATGTTTTACAGCATCCTACACATTTTCAGTTCAAGCCTGATGCAGATCAATTCTGCCTGGATGGGTGGTTCGAATGTCCCTGCTGCAGTTTTATGACTAAAGGGAAATTCTCATTTTCTATTCATCCATTGCAGGTCAGAGTAGATTATTAATTATTTTTGCACAATGCCCAGTGCACCCTTTTGTTACTGATATTTCTGTCAACACAACAGTGACTGTTCTCTGAAAACTATTTCAGTGAAGTGGAAGATTTTAACCGACAAATTGACAAACAATTGAGGAAAGAAGGGAGACCATTCAATTGATGGGTGTTGCTCTTACATTTACACATTTGGAGTTTGGAATTAGATGTCAGTAACATGAATATTCTATTTGACTTTCTCTCTCTACAACTCCAACATTTCATAAGTGTTAAATCAGAAAAAGACATTTGTTTAACATGTTTAACTGAAATATATATTTCTCTCTCTCTCTCTCTCTCTCTCTCTCTCTCTCTCTCTCTCTCTCTCTCTCTCTCTCTCTCTCTCTCTCTCTCTCTCTCTCTCTCTCTCTCTCTCTCTCTCTCTCTCTCTCTCTCTCTCTCTCTCTCTCTCTCTCTCTCTCTCTCTCTCTCTCTCTCTCTCTCTCTCTCAGAGTTGAAGCCATTCTTGCAGCAACTGGTGGAAAAGGGGATCTTTTTGGTGCTTTTGTTCTAGCACAAATAATTTTGTTCTTTCATATAATATAAATAAATACATGTGTATATATAAATAAATTCATGCTTGAATCATTCTCGAGTTTTGCCTTCTGATATCTGGCCATATCATTTAGTGACTGCATATGCTGATTCCATCGTTATTTTACCTGATAATGAGCAAATTAGTTAAACTTAAGGAGGTTTAACAATATACAGTATAATTCAAGAAACTAAGACTCACTCAACTTTTTCAGTTGTTTAAGGATTGATATACATTTTTTATTTGTTTTGTGTAAATTAAATTTTTTCAAAATGCCTCTGATACATTTTGAATAAAAAAAAACACATTTTATAAAAATACTCCTGAGATTAAATGTCTTTCGAACTATGTATGTACAAACTAAAAAACTAGGGTCCTGTAACCGGGGTCCTAAAGCTGCAGCCTCCGATTGTGCAGGAATATACTATTGATTTTAAGTAGTATAGTGAATGTGTTGCTCTGAACAACTGTGACATTGGTTATTTTAACAAAAAGTTATCACACTTGCATTGATGGGTCATTTTAGACCCATGTGATGTATTAACTTGATGTATTAACACAAAATATTAAATAAAAAATTAATTTGTGACCAAGATATTTTGAACTATGATGATATTTTGATATGTTAAACTCATAAAACCTGTACAGAAGGTGAAGCGAGAGATTAACTGTTTTTATGTATTAGAATATTGTGCAAAAGTTCATTTATTTCAGTAATTCAACATAGCTGTAAGCCATAATCATCAAATTTATAACACATAAAGGCTTGAAATATCTCACTTTGCATGTAATGAGTCTATATTATATATTAGTATCACCTTTTAGTTGAATTACTGAAATAAATGAACTTTTGCACGATATTCAAATTTTTCAAGTTTCACCATATTGGTTCTTTAAGGTTTACATAAATTCCATTCTGCTGTTTTATTATTTGATTTCAAAGTCATTTGCTATAACAGGCATTAACTAATAAGTGAATTCTTAATTTGGTTGTAAAAATGCAACATTTCTATAACCACATAGAAAGAAATGTAAAAAAAAGTTTACATTTATTTTTTTTATTTAGAAGGGGTAACTATAAGTGCAGTTTGGATCCCATATAATTAAGAAAGTGACAAAAACTCGTTTTAGTTTAAGTATAGATGCTCCCTTATACGTTTATAATAGCAAAACCATGATTATTTATTACCATTTGTGTAACAGAAGTACAAGAGAAATACAAAAATATCGTTTTAAGGTACATTGTTTACTTGTACTACCATGTCATTAACTTACAAAACCAGTGAGCAATGCTCACTGTTAAGGTAGTGATTGTGATTTAGACCATTCCAAGCCTGCCAAAGCGTCACAATTTAACTGCACCAATAATAGCGTCACACTTCTATACAAATAACCTCATCTTTAAATCGAGTCACGTGCCGTATTTGGACATGGGCGAGGCTTCCGACGTCACACTTGGATGGGCGTGGCTTCTGACGTCACACTTGGATGTGGGCCGGGTTGGATATCCACCGCAGGATGCAGCGAGCTGTACTTGTACTGGCCTGGCATGAATAATACATTGTTTTTAGTTGTTTTTGCGAATGGGGATCGTTTTGACAGCATTGTCGCCTGTACACAAAAAACACCAAGGACAAACTTCTCCATTTTTAGTATATCTTTGTTGTGTAAAAGTACCCTAATAGGTCCAAATCAAACTCAAACATAACGTGACAGTTTCGAACTAGTACTACATACCTTGTTTTTAACGTAAGAGTGTGTGGCCATTTATAATTAGAAAGTGTGAGGCTTCTGGTGTCATTCACTTGCAGGTATTTTAGCTATACAGAAACAATCTGTAATGCTGCTTAGTTATCATAGAATTTCCATATATTATCGTAATTATAAACACACTGGTTTGTAGCACTAGTAGTTATACCATTTACTGCGTTTTGTTATTCTTCTATTTAATTACATACAGCGGCTAATAAATCAGCTAATAAATCGTACCATGTTGTAACCTTCTATGTTGCAAAATAAGTCGGATAGCGCAATGTATCTTTAAATTTGTAAAAAAAACACACACAAAAAAAAAACGTAGGTGCTAACTTAAGAATATTGGTCCATACTTATGCAATTTATCTTCCTTCGACTTTTTGAGGAATATCGCTAGACAGACTCATCTATCTATCCGTGTAAATTCAGCGAGTGAGTCAGTGAGTATGATATGCATGGACACTGGGCGTCTTATCAGCGTCCAGCAGGACAGGCTAATCTCACTCGAAACCGCCACCTGCGTTACTCCTCTCCTCCCGCTGACAAACACCGAACAACACAACCCATCACTGAAAATCCATCTCTCTAATTTGACATTTTCCTGCTCATTTTAGTTGAGTAAAAAAAGTGTAATATGGTGTAAAATGTGACTAGCTACACATTCTGATTTGTGACTGATGACGTGAAACTAGCATAACAACTAAAGTAGTGTTCAATGAGGCATTAGTGTGGGAATCTCTAGGGGAGGAAGGAAAAATGCCTAAAAAAATTATAAAAATACCAACCAATTTGGTTGTTGGACACCTAGTCAGTTATCTTCATAGGCCTTATATATAAATAAATACATAAAGATACATCAGGATTTGTTTCGGAATCAGATTTTCTGAATTGTGGGGTGCCTAAAGATGACAGTGTCAGGAGAATGAACGAGACGCAACAAACAATTTCCAGTGATCTGGTTTTAAAGGAACGCGGCCCTCAGACGGGAAGGGAAGTATAGGTTGCAGGAGCTCCGTCTGCATGCTGGTCTGGACAAGAAACGCATCCCAGCTTTCAGTGGAGCGGAGAATGGAAAAGTCCAGTGATGTAACAGCTGCTAAATGCAGGCATTCCACATCTCAGTTTCCCTTGCTCACAGTTTCCCCGCTGAGCCTTCCCTCGGTTTCTTCTGCTCTCCGTTCCAGTGCTCTGATTACAAACACTGATGAGGCGGAGCGTTGAGGAGGACTTTTGTTAAACTGTCTCCAAAAATAGACCTCTTTCCAAGACGAAAGTGTCTGTACAGTGTCTGCTCATGGTTATGAGGTCATATCCCTTAACGAACCCTAAACCAGCTAATCATTAAGGGCCGCAAATTTGAGAGCTGACTTTGAGGGAGGAAAATTCCAGACTAGTGATTTACCATTTCACTTTAAATTAGTAGACTGTGCTGCTGTTTTGCCCGGAAAGACAAGATAGGTATCGTTTTTTGTAGGTTGGATACACTCTTACACTTAAAGTTGATCGTATTTGCAAACGTGACCATCCATCTGGAAACCAAAATTATTTGACAGTTTGTATTTTCTAGCAGAACCTAACATTTTGGAAATATTGGTGGTTTTCTAACAAATTTCAAACACTTCCTGTTAGCCGAGCCCACAATTTCCATCATTTGTTGAACCAATGTTGATATTTCCAGTCCAATTTGGCAACAGATTGCAATTCCAATTGGTGCTGGTATTAGTGCAGAAATTACATGCATCCGGGTCTGTCTTATCTATTTTATTCAAGCTTCTTTTCAAACCTATCCATCTCTTTCCATTCTCTCAAAACACATCTTACGCATTCCTACCAGTAAAACACTCAATGCAAAAGTTCCTCTAGCATTATTTCATAACCATATTTAAATACAGGAGCGAATCCCTGTAATCCCCTAAATTATCACACTCTCAAAAATATTAGCATCTAGATGCGCATTAATGTTCGTCAATTTCTAGTAAACTACAGTCGACAGAAGCTATATATTTTGATTACTGTGCTTAATTTGAGCCGGATCCTGTTCCGGAAAATGTCAGATTTTGGATTTTTGCGTTCTGGCATTAACAAGTGCATTGCATGTGAGACAGTACAAATTAAGCACTGCAGACAAGGTAACAGTGTCTAAAAGCGATACTAGTTTGATAGTTCGATTTAGTTCGAAAACTCTTTTTAATTCTCAGTTGCCATATACTGCTAAATACAGGAGCGAATACCTACAAAATAACTGTATCAAATTTTGGCAAAATTTTAGCATCTTTTGGCTGTAAAGCAGAAGTGAAGATGCCTAGCCTGGTTAAAACCAGACCATTCTCAGTTGTAACTGAGTTATGGTCTGGCAAAGCATCATAGACAAATCATTTCCAGAGGGGCGTCACCAACGGACGTCGTGGATAGACCTAAACCCAATCCGAGCGATGAAGGAGATGACGTATGCAGAGCGGAGAAACATCTCCGAGTGTTGTTCTTTGTTCGGTTTTTAACAAAAAGGAAACGTTCAAATCGCTTAAAACAGACGTGATAGCTGATTCGAACGAGTGATGTTCGACGGCGGCATCCATCTTTGTCACGTAGGCTACAAAATCTGCTTCAAAATCCCAGTGCTGTCGTCATCGTGTAAAGCCCGCCCCAAGGTTTCTGATTGGTGCCGCGATTTCGACGGATTGGAAATGGGCTTGAATGAGCTCTTTGCCAGACTAACTTTCAGAGCAAATCTAAATTTGCCGGAAGTTGTCTGGGTTTTCCCAGGCTAGAAGATGCCATCAATTAGCCAGTCATTTGGTTTTATAAATTTCTTATAAAAAAGTTTTTTTTTTTTTTTTTTTTTGTAAACGACAGTTGACAGAAGCGATATATTTTGATTGTACTAGCACACCTGTGTAACGGAGGCAAGCTACCGTAGTAAGAGCTGTGTGGGTAAATCTCATTCCCTTGTCAACTTCTTGTTAGCGTTCCCGCCTCCCATGCCAGAGACCCATGTTTAAATACCGCTCAGGGGTGCGTTTCCCGTACAACGACGTAAATCGTTGATGTAAAACTATGCTGATTACGACGGAAATTGCTCACCATAGTTGGCTAACGATGCTTTTGGGAATTGCACCCCAGAGCGGGTCAAGTAGGACCGGTTACTTTGGTGCCGTGAACTGGATGGGAGTGAGGTTTAGGGGGGTGAGTGTAATGGAGGCAAGCTAGTAAGACCTGTCCATGTAAACCTCACTCCCATGGCGTCAAGAGGCGCACTAGAAACTGCGGTCTTTAACGTCCTTGTTGGCGGACCATGCTGGA